TGATACCTCTACTGCTCCTTACCGTAGTTCTGGGGATTCAATGCAGACCCATGATTAAAATTAGAACTTTGAAAGTTATTGAATGCTTGATTTTGTCGATTAAATCGATTTCTATTCCATCCAAACGTATTTCACGTTTGCACTTGATTGACATCCCACTGGGTTGGTGGGATCATGGTCTGATTATTAAATTGTTGTTATTATCTTTGCCAATTCCAACAATTTGCTGTTAGGTGCTTTCCTCCACAAAATGTACATTGATCCATTATTTGTAAGGGTGAGGGGTATTCTGTTATAGAATGACTGTGGCCCTTACAATTACTACACCATACATTGGTCCTAGTATTGGTAGGCTTTTGCCTCTTCTCCTTATCTTTGGCCATATTGACGGCCATTTCCTCCATTTTCTTCATCAAATTCAATAACAAGGTTTCATTGGAATCTTTTAGGGTTGGCATTATTGGTATCTTTGCCGTAGTTAATGCTTGTTGTTGATACAGAAAATATGGAGCATACGCTATTGTCACATTCGGTGGTATAGCTTGCAATGGGGTGACATTAACTGGCCCCTAAATATTGATATTGGAATTGGCCCCTGTTTCTAACATCCGTGGATAACTATCCACTGATTTGTTCCAAGTCGGATTTTGATATCTATCTTGAACTGGAATCATCGTGGTTCCCATAGTTAAAAACTGATCATAATGGCATTCCTCCCAAACCTTGGCTCTATTAAAGGACGCAGCCACCGTAACGGGTTGAGCTTCCTTTACAAACATTTTTAGCTGTGGTAGGTGCAAACCATTGATTAATATGGATAAATTAAATACCTCCGACATTTGGTGATTTGGCCACTTACTGAGTATATCAGCCACTTTGCCATAGTACGATTCTACTGCCTTCCCTAGTATCATTTTGCTCTTCATTAACCTCTCTCGAAGGCGGTCCTCAAAACCAATTGGCCGAAAATGAGATAAAAATGCATTCTTCAATACTTCCCAATTCAAAAATTGACCCACTGGTTGGCGGTTGTACCATTCAAACGTTGTGTCTTTTAAGGTCGCTAGCAGCCATCGTAACCAAATATCTTCAATTCTACCATTATTAGCTACACATGTTGTAAGAAATTGAGACAAATGTTGATTGGGATCCGCCCCTAAAAATCTCCAAAAAGTAGGTAGTGGCATGACACTAGTCGTACGATCGCCTACTGCATCCATTTATATTGCAATCAAAACGGCTCATCTTCCTGACGCCATTGAATTTCTTGTTTCGCTAAACTCCATTTTAAAATAATCTATGCTTTCCCATATTCTAATTTTCGAGCTCTTAGTGCTCCTCGATTTATTGATATTTTTTGTAAATAGTTTTATTAGTTGAATTGTAGGTGAAAATGTTGGATTTGAAATAGAATATAGTTATCTTTATTGGCGACCAATTTGTGCCAATCTGAAGAGCCACTATTGCTCGTTTCAGCGGTACCCTTTACTGGAAAAATATCCAATGGAATACCAAATTCTTCTACGCCTCCTTCTCTTTCAGTTAACGGCCTCAAGATTTCCACTGGAATGTTAACAAAATTTTTCGCGAGTGTTCTTGGCAGTTTTTCTAACGGTACATACGACTGCAGAATTAATAGTCTATCCGGTTCTTGATATGTTCAGATGCGTCGACCAGCTTGCAACCATGGTTTAATCCAATTTTATCGATGCTTCCTTTTAAGATTACGTTCTTGCTCCTCTCTAAGCAAGTTCCTTCCTTGTGCTCTTCCCTGTCTTTTTCTCAACTGATTTATTTTCCTCGATGCAATGCTCCCGTTCTTATTAACCATAATCTTACTTCAAACACTACTGAAATCGTCTTCCATTGCCAATTTTCTCACACATTTGGTAATTAATTCCTAACACTCAAAGCTATTATCACTCCCTGGCAGCGGCGCCAAAGTGTAATTGCTTGTTTTACTTATTCCAAATTAATCTAATGGGAATAAACTCATATAGGAGGATTCAAACACGGGGAATGACTAGTTGCTTAAGCATTCACGTTAGGGTCACACAATCAATTACCTCTTGAATGTATCGTCTCTATTTTTAATATATGAACACACAAGGAAATTATCATCTCCTCCTTCACCTTATCAGTTTCTTTCTTATAGCAATTCAGTCATACCAATAACTGCTATTTCCACCAATATATTCACCTTTATAATCTCCAACTGTAATATTATGCCCTCACAGCTTTCAGCATACAATTACCCTCATTCCAATCACTAGAATTCTTTACACAGAACTGCCATTCACATTAAGGTGTTTCACACAAATACAGACTCATTCTCTCTGCTGAACTATAATCAGATTTTAGCATTCAATCTTTCTTCTTCTCAAATAATACCAATCACATTTCCATTCCATAATTCACTTCACAATATTTAGAAACTCTCAATCCTCTTATTCAAAGAAAATAACAAACAAAAGAAAAGAGGTAGCACCAAGCTTATCCCAGCTCACAAGTATCACAGCAATGGCACCTTAATTAACTTCTACAACTCTTATATACTTTCCCCTAATTCTCCAGATTCTAACCGTAATTTTGTAATTAATTGCTTTTAATAACTAAATCACTCATCTGTCGTTCTGAATTTCCTATTATATGGACTATTAATATATTTTACCAATGTCCTTCAAAAACGAATTAATATCTATTCTACACTAAGGCTTTATGGCCTCTCTAGAATATCCTTATATACTAATTGTGAACCTTAATGAGACTCAAATCCTTGATTTTTTTAACAAATTATCCTTTAAATAAAGTTATTTATTTTATTTTTTAATTTTTGAACCTTTATAATTTATTCAGAATAATTTAGATTTATATTAATTTTACTTCATTAAAAAAATAATCATTTAAAAATAAATATATTTTATTTATTACTATTATTTTTTATCATAAATAAAAACTATTAAAAGTGAAGAAACAACTAGATCCTTTCTTGATAATATTTATTGCTATACAAATTTCCAAAGAATATTACATTAGTTAAGAAGATCCAATTTGTATCTAGGTTTTGAAAAATTATTTTTAAGATATTAAAAACTATAGAAATAAAACTATCTTTGACCTTCTATCTTTAAACTAATAGATAAATAAAATAAATAAATCAAGTTTTAGAATAATATTTGAGATGTACCATTAACTAATATTAAGATGATTGGATGATTATTTTTCCATTGAGAGAGTTTTTTTTTATAATAACATAATACATTCTTTTACTTAATAATTACTTTTTCATATTAATTATAATTATCATCCATGATTTAATACTTTTGACTTCTTAAAAGTTGATTATCTTATGGCAAAAGATCTAAAAAATTATTTATTAGAGATATATACAATAAGAAAGGTACAATTAAAAGAAGCTTAAGAATGACTAAAAATTGATATTAATGTTTATTATAAGGAAGAACCTGAATTCCATGTTAGCAATTATAATTAATTTTTTATAATATCAAGACTATTTATCCTTGTAACAAGTTGGATTGCTAAAAATTTTCACTATTTTTTATTTGTAAACAAATCAATCCAATTGTATGTTAATTATATCTACTAAAGTCTATGCAAATTCATTCTATATTCCATATTTTTCTTCTTAAGCTATAAAAAACAATGGATATTAGAAAAGGAGATAGATGCTTCCTCTTCTTATAGATTAACAACAATCAAAACTTTTAAATAGAAAAAATCTTAGACTCAAAGTGACACCAAAATGGTTGAAATATCTTATAAATTGGTATAAATGTAATATTAACTAATGCACATAGGAATTATGCAAGAATCTTATAAATCCAGCAAAAAAAGTTAATACTTGTTATTGACAATATCTATCACAACTAAGATAAAAAATTAAAAATTTTCTTGCTGTAAAACAAAGTATATTCAATAAAGATTTCATTCTATCTTCTATCATTGCTTTTGATTTTTTTTGTAATTGTAGCATTTAAGAAATAAAGAATTAACAACCAACAAATTCAACTCAAGAGATATTTTTTGCTAAGTTATCAAACAAGCCATTAAAATAGTTAGAACCTTTAAGAAGTCGTAATAGATATGAAAATTCTAAAAAGTGACATGTTTTTTTTTGAGTAGATAGCAAGATACAAAGCATTTAATATCACAACCTTAGAAGAGACTTTTGATGTTTGATGAAATTATTAGAGGTAAAAGTCATTTTTGATGATGTTTCAAATATTTTGTTTGAAAGAAGTTACAAAGACCTCAACAACAATAAGATATTAGGGTGGTTTTTTTGCCCAAATATAAAGTATTATTGATAGTTTAGAGGATCTATTAACTATCCTCTAAACAAATTGCATTTATAAAATAATCAAAGATATAAACAAAAATCAAAAAATTATTTATAACTTTAGTTTAAAATTTAAATTTAAAACTTTGATTATTATTTTAATCATTTGATCTTATAAAAAAAGAATAAATTAAAATATAAAATAAGTCAATATAATTTTAAATTTAGCATAAATTTAGATAAAATTATTATTTTACTTAATTAAATAATTATCTAATTATATATATAATTAGGTATGTATATTATATATATATATATTCAAATACATATTTATATTCAATACGTTTATCTTGAGCTTAAAATATTTTTTTGAATAATATTTTGGTTCTAATTTGCTAGGCTTAATGAACCTAATCTTAAGATTTAAACATGAAATCTGATGATTTTATATATTTCATCTTCAAAAGATCATCTTATAATTATATGTATTTTTAAGATTTTAATTTTTTCTATTTTTTTGTTCATTAAGTACGGTAAACTCTTTGATCAGTGCAGAGTACATTGCTGTCCGAAATCTAATACTAAGTGCGAATCAGTACTGCGCGCATGAAGGAATCGGTATTCCTACTCATGTTTGATGTCTACTCACGAGATAAGGTTTGAAAGCAGAAGTTTAGTGAGGCAGATTTCTATTCACTTTGAAAAAACTGCACTAGCTGCATGGATGACATACTTTTATTGCTTTTGAAATCAAACAAGTCAGGAACTGCAGGATCAGAATGGTGGACTGGAGCTGGACGAGATTGTACTTCGGCACAAGACAGACTTCGTAACAGATAAGTGTGAAGCTAGTTGTGTCAAATGTGCTCCACCATTGCTACCTTATGAGATCAGCTTGAGGAGGTCAACTGTGTCGCAACCAAGGAAAAGACTTGCTAACGTTTCAATGGTCTTTGGCCAGTCGTGCTAATCTTCACAAGTTGTTCTTTACCTGCATGTGGACCACAGTGCTTCTTCTGGTTCTATTCTTTTACTTTTTGCTAATTATTCAGCATTCTAAAGTTGTAAGGCGCTCGACGAGAAGATCAACTGCTGGCTCGTGGTCTAGCAAACTCAAACGAGCGTACTGGGTGGATACACCGAAGAGTGCACCGTTCCGACCCAGGATTCCGTTTCTCTTCAAAATCATCTGGCAGTCGGTCCCCTCCTTCTCACATTTCAGCCAGATAAATGCTGTTCATGTTACCGAGGGTGAATCAATACCGGTGCCGACTTCCACATGTGAATCGAATGACGATGTTGGAGTACATTGAAGGAGTACTAAAGATTTGCTAAGAGCTGGCCTTCACGTACCTGGGTACGTTGAGTGCGAAGTCCCCGAAAAAGTGCAAGTGGAAAACGTGTGGGTGGCCGAGGCAACGTTATTTTGTAGGCTGAAGTTTTTGTTGCCAGCCAGTGCAGATCTCACTTTGACCCAACGGCTCTCCATCACTTGTCTGCTCCAATGGAAAAACTTCTTGGCTAGCAAAGCTTCTGTGATCCTTATCTCATGTGCGAGTAAGTACTTGGGGTCACTCAGCGATATCTCGAAATTGTCATCAGCAATGCAATGATCTTGTCGTCTCTTTCCTCCATAGCCCCGAATGACGGTGCGAATCAGTCCTGCTGCACGACTCTGGGCATCCTGTGCTAAGCCTATGGTATTCAGCGCCACGAATTCAGCCATTTTCTTTGCCACTGCGGGGTTCTTCACAACTGCCCACCTGCATACAAAGTTAATGGACTGCTCAGTTTGCATCACCACCGTTTCAAAACATTAAAGTCGTGGTTATTTGCATAAATATTTACCGAGTTTAGCAAGTGAAGGGTTCAGAGCGCGCACCCGATGCGCAGTCCCGCATGTCCAGTGCATTTGGACAAGGTGAACAGCATGACATCGGAGTCAAATGAACTTATAATAGGAACATAAGTCGGCCAGTAGTAAGCCAAGTCATGAACTATCGTTCCCTTATCTCCCAACCCCAAACCTTCACGCATAGTGCCGCACGGATTGTTCGGAGTGGTGACCATTTCGATAAAGGTCTCGTTGGCCTTTGGATGGAAGGTCTTCGAATCACCAGCCCAATGGAAAAGCTTCGACTGCAGGTAGTCAATTATCTCACGGTAGGCCTGCGGTCGTTATTTCAAGGAAAAAAGTATTATCAATTCCAGCGAGTATCAAAGTTCTGCGAGGTCACAAAACTACGTTGACTGGAGCATGACTGTCATTTCATAAATGATCATGAGGTAGTGGAGCGAAACGTACCGAATAGAAGGGTGCTTCAGATACCACTGGAGTGGAGGTGCCGTCCCTTGTGGCTAACGCGTACAGAGCTGCTTGGAAAAGCTGAGTGCTTCCATTACCGACCACGATCGCTCTGTCCCCAGTTACAGCATTTCCGACGAATGAGTGAAGCTCCCTGATGGCATCATCCAGTAGAGCGCTGACGAACCAGGGGCAGCCCTCCTGCTCCTTTGACTTCACAAAGTAGCTCAGCGTGTCGTTGGCGTAACCAACCTTCACATGGTCGTCCTTGTGCGCGTTCCAGTATGCCTCGAACATCGTTGGATCGCCACTGCAACATCACCATCTCCAAAATTGGTTAATTATATTTGCCATACCCACATTTCTTTTTGCCTGCCTTTTAGGGTAGCCCTTCAAGAGCTAGTCCTGATTCAATCCGATTTAATACCGCTACATCAAAACAACATACCTAAAGATTTAGTAAAGATCACCACATGTGGTAGAAGAGCAGCAGGCAGTACTCACTGGTCGCAATTTAAAAGAGGTGGAGCAGCTGTCAGTAGCGAACGGAAAGCACAATCTTCGTCACCCATGATTTTATCTGTAGCTTTTACGTACAACTTCTGCCAATCGAAATTTTGCTTGCTGCCGACATCTGCCATCTTGATCAGTACCCGGGATGGTCCGGACGTTGTCCTGAAAACATGCACCAACTAAAACATTACGAATGTCCATTGGCCAGATGCTTTTTCATGGACTGCAAAGCAAGGCTACGCTTACATCCACGTGACCGTACCAGACAAAAAAGTGTTGTGAGTACTGAACACCAAGACACAGTGACTTTTCCACAACGATTATTGCCAATTCACCTTGAGACAGAAACATGGATAACATTGAATTCAGAGCTGTTTTCTATCGTGAAGCTCAGTGCAGTTCAGTGATTGGATCAGAAACTTCACCACCATTTGCGTCGTTCACATACCCAGGATGAGGAGATGCCTTAACTCCACCAGAAAGGACTAAACCTCTACACTAAAACATTTAAAAATAAGAAGGGATCCATTCAACAATGCAGCGGCCAGGACGCGGGCGTCGCCCTGTCGACAAAAATAACCAACAATCGACCTAATATGAGGCAGGTCCAGTCCGCCAAGCAAAACCACATGCAGGACTTGTTAGCGCTTTCGAAGACATTTGTATGATGCAACACAGCATACCCGAAACACTCATCTAATTTCTTCATCAATTAGGTAAACCTTCATGTTACTTCCCAATTACAGTTTGAGGGAAGAGTGAACCCAAAGACAATTTCGGTCGGCGACCTATCACTTGCAGATGAATGAGTAGGAGACCTCTGAAGATGATAGACCTCGAACGAGTCAAGTTCAGTTCTTACAGAATCCTCATTTAAAGAATCGAATCTATGCGCTGCATTAGCTCTGATGTAAAACAAAAGTGAACAAAAAGGGGCTTGCGGCTGTCCTGTAAACTTGCCGACATCTAATTGTCCGCACTTATGGAACATATATCTCATGAACAACATTGTGTCTCACAGCTTCTATTTCAGAAGTAACCACATCAGACTAGAATCTAGACGAGAGTATGGAGCGAAAACCAAGAGCTCTCCCAACTAGGACGTGTTACAATCTAGCCACTAAACTGAGGAATCGCACAGACCTGATAAAGGACTTTCTTATCCCACAAGCTCCTCAGAACTGTAAACGGAAATGCCGAATGCACTGAAATCCCTGAAGAAGGCTATCCAATGCCAAACCAACTGATAAGGCGTATTGAACAACTGATAACTATCACCTGAAAATTCTTGTTTAGCAACATCAGTTGGTAATTCAGCACGAACAAAAATGATCTAAACAGACTCAAACACGCATCCATGCTCATGCGGCACTAATCCTTGGGACGTAGAAATAGATGTCTACCTCTCCGAAGCTCCGAAAATTTATGCTTCAAGAACCAGAGGTAGAGAAGAATAGGCCCTTTCGTTTGTAACGCTCCCTGGTAATTTTGTCGCATATTCCTGTCGCGAGTGAAAGACTACCGAGGTCGGCCAGTGGAGGTCACTTCGAGACACCACCGAGGCGGTCCCTGGCCATTGTAGAATCCACTGAGTCACCTTCCATGACAACCCGTGATATTTGATGCGATCTCACTGTTGGTTGTCTCGAACACGAATCTGGGTGATCTAGTTGTTCCTAAACATCCCTGATTAGACACTTGCACCTCGAATTTTTGGCATCAACTATGAAGCACAGAGATGAGAGGATTTCACACGTTTCAGAAGCTACATGTAAAATATACCAGTGGCTTGGGCGTGTGGACTCAGGAAGTCCGTCAGAAATTCGTTAAGTAATTGCGAAGCATAATTTCCGATCAGGATTCAGTTGTAGACTTCAGTGTCACCTCTGCACTCCAACCACGGGAGCTAGGTTCACAAAATGTACCACAACAGAGTTGAAATGTAATTAAGTTTCAGGCTTCAATATTTCTCCTTTCTTACCACCTCCACGATCACCATCTGGACACGAAACAGTATGGAAGTATAATCGAATCACAACTATAAGAACCCATGTTCTAGTTCACAATGCTGCATGGGTAAAATGAGATTAAATAGTGCAAGTTATCAAAACATCTGCTTCTCATCAATGATTAGGACGAGGTGTAATAACCACTGATTGTTTCATCATCTGAACTAGCAAATTGAACACTCCGTAATCATGTACGCACAAGAAAAGAATCAAGCGAACATGGGAGGTCATGCCAAAGCACCCTTCGATGCACACATCTCACGTAACATGATCATCGATGGATCATTGTTTGCTTATTTGTGCACCATAATGTGGGTACTTTCAAACTACACTTCTCGTGTCCAGTCTCGTGATTGTTCAGTCATTTCCATTACAACCCGCTGTAAATCGTGCTTTCTGCCACTAATCTGAGCTGATTATAACAGAGATGTATTGGTCACACATCGGGGAAGAATTATCATCGGATTAGAATGTGCACTAGCTTGTGCAGATTGTCCCTTTTCCTTCACTACCCAAGCTATGTCAACCAAGATTCAAACCAAGATCCCTCAATTTTATATTTATCGAAGGAACACCCTTGAACATGATTGTAAGTACTTTGTACGTACTTGGAAGGCTTTTTTTGTACTTTAATGAATGTATTCCTACCAATTATATATATATATATATATATATATTCATACATCTCTATATTTGATGAATGTATTCCTACAAATTTTATAAATAAACTAGTTGAATCCATATAGTTGTTATGAATAATATGTTATTTTATAATTCAATTGTCTAAGTTACAAATCTCTTCAAAATCTCTTCAAACCACTCATTTCAACATTATCCTCTTTGTATTATCCTTTTTTGAGATAAAAGTGAATCATATGTGTTGTTAAGGCCTTGTGAATTTATAAACCTAATTCTATTAAGACCTTGCAAATTATTGCGTAATTCAACTTTTGCTTTACTTTTCATAAAAATAATAAAATATGCAATCAATCAAAGATGGTTTTTATTTCCTTTGGTTTATCCTCCTAAGTTTATTCTTACTAATTTTATATAAATATATATATATATATATATATATATATATTTAATGAGTTTATTTCTATCAATTTTAAAAATAAATATATATATATATATTATTTATTTATTTATTTATTTATTTAAGTATCACTATCTTTGCTTAGGAATTTAAGTAGCTAATTTTTTGGTATCAACTTGTGATCTTTTAATAAGTTGAATCAATTTTAGTTCTATATCAAAAAAATCAAAATCAAAAAAAAATTTAAATGCACTAACTCTTTTTGTAAAGAAAATTAATTGTGATTGCAAAATTAATCTTTAAAAAAGAGCCTAACTATCATTTATATTATTTTACAACTTATTGTGCAACAAATTAACTATTCTAAAAGAAATTAATTCAAAAAAATATTGCTAAGAATATAATTTATCATTCAAAATTTCATGTAAGTGCACTAATTCTCTTTGTAAAGAAAAAAATATAAATCTTTGTAAATATATATAGAAAATTATGAATTTAGCAAATCAACTATCAATTTTTTTTTTTTTTTTTTTTTTTTTTTTTCTTTGATATTAGGACTTCTTAGTTAATCAAATAAAGTTAAAATCTTTACTAAATTAAATCTATGAAGAATCTGTAAGAAATAGAATAAGAAGTCTATTTTATTTTAAACTAGATTTGATAATTACAAACATAATGTAATGTCTTTTGACTTATAATTACTCCAGTTATTTCCAAAAATTATTAAATAATTTATTTCTTAAATTTTTAGATAGTTTTGTTATGATGTATTTAAAAACATTCTTATCTATTCCTAAAATATAAAAGAATACGAATTTGCATTATATACTATAAGGAATCAAAAAAAATTATGTGTACTTTAAGTATCTTATGACTTCTTAATAGTATGATATTTTTATAAAATAAAACTCTAGAATCTAGAGTAAAAGATTTATAATCGTCTTAAAAATAAAATAATTATTAAAGAATATGTTGAATCCTATGACATTTTTTTCTTAATCAAAAGATTTGTCATTGATTATATAGACTTTTTTAATATCAACCTATTCTATAACAACTTTTGTCACCTATTATAATAGACTTTATTACAAATCTTCTAATTTCATATTTTATTAATTCTATCTTTGATTGTAGATTTTTTAACCACATTATATATTTTTTTTATATTTTAAAAATACTATTATTATTGAAAAAAATATGATTATTTTTTGATAATATTTACTAATATTATAGACTTCTAATTGATATTATATCTAATCAAAGACCTTAATTAATATCAAGGTTTTAGAAAAAACTTTTTTGACATATTAAATTTTGATGTTTAATTATTTTTAGTTTTTATTTTTATATTAACAGATAAGTAGAAAGTGTGAATGAAGTATTAAAAAAATATAATTTAATATGAATTATTACCAAGACAATTAGGCAACTCTCTTACCATTGGTAGAATTTTCCTAAGAAAATTATATATATATATATATATATATATATATATATATATATATTTAAGGAAAAGAATATTTATTTACAATTAGTAAAAAGATATGGTTACTTTGTTGTCATATCAAAACTCATTGGCCTTATAACAAGCTATTTTATTAAATATTTAATTTTATTTATTATTTAAATTTAAATAAATTTAATTACATATTAATTAAAATTATTACAACTAAGAAAACTTTATCAAATATTCTCTATATCTCTTATCAAATTTTATAATAAAATCAATATACTAAAATGAAGCAA